ATTCTTTGATCTAGGGATCTATGTTTTCCGGGAACCTGAAAATTCGAGCACGGGAAATCCTATGATCATGATTCACGTATTCTGAGATCCCGAGGTCCTACAAATTTGATATGCCAGCATCCTGGAATGCTATGACCTAGAGATACCAAATTCTTAACATTTTGTAGATTCCCTGGATTCTGTGGATTCCATGGATTCTGTTGCTTCTGTAGGTTCTGCAGATTCTGTCGATTCCGTAGATTCCGTATATACTGTAGATTCCGCAGACTTCATAGATTCCGTAGATTAAGGTTTCAATTCTCTACAACGTTGATATTCCAGGATCCTGGAATGCAATGACCTTGAGATACCAAATTCCTAATATTTCTAGATCTGAAGCGGACACTTGTCCGAAACAGTAGAAGTAAACAAAAAATTGTTGTGTAGAATATGTAGATCCTATGGATTCTGTAGATTTTGTATATCCTGTAGATCTGTAGATTCTGTAGATTCTGTAAATTCTGTTGATTCTGTAGATTTTTTAGATTCTGTAGGTTCTACAGATTTTGTAGATTCTGTAGATTCTGTAGAATTTGTAGATCCTGTAGATTCTGTAGATCCTGTACATTCTGTAGAATCTGTAGATTCGGTGTAGATTCGGTGTAGAATCTGTAGATTCTGTAAATATTGTTGATTCTGAAGATTCTGTAGGTATTGTAGAGTCTGTAGATTCTGTAGATTCCGTAAATTCCATTGATTCTGTAGATTTTATAGATTCTGTAGATTAAGGTTTCAATTCCCTACAAATTTGATATTCCAGAATCCTGGAATGCAATGACCTTGGGATACCAAATTCCTAATATTTCTAGATCTGAAGGGGACACTACGTGTCCAAAACAGTAAAAGTAAACAAAAAATTATTGTGTAGAATATGTAGATTCTATGGATTCTGTAGATTCTGTAGATTTTGTATATCCTGCAGATTCTGTAGATTTTGTATATCCTGTAGATTCTGTAGATTTTGTAGATTTTGTAGATTCTGTAGATTCTGTAGATTCTGTAGATTCTGTAAATTCTGTTGATTCTGTAGATTTTTTAGATTCTGTAGGTTCTGCAGATTTTGTAGATTCTGTAGATTCTGTAGAATTTGTAGATCCTGTAGATTCTGTGTAGATTCTGTGTATATTGTGTGTAGATTCTGTAGATCCTGTACATTCTGTAGAATCTGTAGATTCGGTGTAGATTCGGTGTAGAATCTGAAGATTCTGTAGGTATTGTAGAGTCTGTAGATTCTGTAGATTCCGTAAATTCCGTTGATTCTGTAGATTAAGGTTTCAATTCCCTACAAATTTGATATTCCAGAATCCTGGAATTCAATGACCTTAGGATACCAAATTCCTAATATTTCTAGATCTGAAGGGGACACTACGTGTCCAAAACAGTAAAAGTAAACAAAAAATTATTGTGTAGAATATGTAGATTCTATGGATTCTGTAGATTCTGTAGATGTTGTATATCCTGTAGATTCTGTAGATTCTGTAGATTCTGTTGTTCAATCACAGATTAATCTGGGATTAATCTAAAATTAAACAATACTAATTAAGTAATTCATGTAATAAGTAGGAATTAAGACATCATTATTATGCATAGATATAAAGCAGGGCAATTGAGTAAGGCATGAAAATGCAAATAATAGAATAATAGTATCGCTGAGCTAGGTAAACAAATGGTAGAACTAAGACAATAATTTTGTATATAAACGTGTAAATATTATGAATAAACCAGTATTATAGCTTAGGCTGTTCTTACTCATTTGGGGTGTAAGGTTCCAAGTCTACAAATTGGCACAGTGACGGGTGGCGCCTTACAATCCACCCCAAACCTATCTTGATCTCATACCGAGATTAAACACTGTAGATTCTGTAGATTCTGTAAATTCCGTTGATTCTGTAGATTTTGTAGATTCTGTAGATTCTGCAGATTCTGTAGATGTAGATTCTGTAGATTCTGTGTAGATTCTGTAGATCCTGTACATTCTGTAGATTCTGTAGATTTTGTATAGATTCTGTAGATTCTGTGTAGGTTCTATAGATTCTGTGTAAATTCTGTAGACTCTGTAGATTCTGTAGATTTTGTAGATTCTGTAGATTCTGTAGATTCTGTAAATTCTGTAGATTCTGTAGATTCTGTAGATTCTGTAGATTCTGCAGATTCTGTGTAGATTCTGTGTAGATTCTGTGTAGATTTTGTAGATTCTGTGTAGATTCTGTGTAGATTCTGTAGATTCTGTAGATTCTGTAGATTCTGTGTAGATTCTGTGTATATTCTGTAAATTCTGTGTAGATCCTGTAGATTCCGCAGATTTAATATATTCCGAAGGTTAAGGTTTCAATTCTCTACAAATTTGATATTCCAGGATCCTGGAATGCTATGACCTTGAGATACCAAATTCTTAGTATTTCTAGATCTGAAAGAGACACTTGTCCAGAACAGTAAAAATAAACAAAAAACTATTCTGTAGAATATGTAGATTCTGTGGATTCTGTAGATTCCTTGGATTCCGTTGATTCTATTCCCTCAAATTAGGCAGCCAGGTGTGATTCATAAGTGCACAGGCCTTGGAATGCTAATCCTATCCTAAATTCCATATATTTTAGGATGCATACAAAAGATTTCCTAATTGCAAATAAATACTGTAAGTATCCCGTAGAGAACCTAAAATCCTCGGTAGTGTTAGATTCCTGCCATTTTGAACTATGATGAATGTCCATTTTACTATCGTAGAAGAGACTTGGGCGTTTCCTGTTGGTCATAAAATAATCAAATTGGATTACCAGACTCCGTTGGAGTAAATAAAATATAAAGCATGACAGTTTTGTACGAACAAACAATCTGTGAACAAATATAGCGAACATCCCGTAGGACATCTAAAACCACATGCATGTTCACGGATCTCGTACATTTCGACTGCACTAAAAATTGTGGGGGTTAAAAACTAAGGTAAGTGTTTTTACGAAATTGAAAGCTCATGGATGTGTTGAATTCCCTAAAACAAACCCCAAAGGAAATTTTTACGAAGTAGACTGTCAACCTTTACTCGGCAATAAGCCAGAAGTACCCGTATTGTTATTTCCAGCGCAATTCATGTAAATATTCTCTCGACTACCGCTCACGTCGCGTTTTTGTATCAATACACGAGAGTCTGCCAAGAAATGCTCGCTTCATTGACCCAAAACTTATTTCCATCCCAGTTAAGCTCGCATGGGCGATTAAACGGGAAGGCAAAGTACTTAAAAGGTTTCACATAATCTTAGATTAGAATCCATAAAAGTCTGCAAGGAATTAAATGTATATGTGCTTTTCGCGTTTAGAGTCTGATGAAAATGGTAGCGTACCTACACATTTCACGAAAGATTATTATTTGAGATTTTTGAAGTTTAGACATAAAGGAAGGCTCCTACAGATCTATCCTAAATTGCCTTTTATTGGATTACGTCTGTCGCTTCTGTTGCAGGCGCTGAAGCTGAAACGCGACGAATTCACTTAATATGACATCACACGATTATCGCATTATTCAAACGCCTTTTTGCATGCTATTTGCCTGTTGGGGATTTCAAACTTTTAAGAAAACATATTTCTGACACAGATTTCTGGCCGGAACCTGCCGTTATAGGTATTGGTATGTAGGATTATAATAGGTGTAATATTACCATGGTCATTTGTATCGTATACCATTAACCTAACTTGAATTCTTTACACAAACGAAAATCTACTCAGAGCTAACCTACGTATGATCGACGTAACTTTCTTAACCGCTCAAGGCGAACGCTCTCGTGGTTTAACGCGCATTTTCCCCACGGTTCTTTTCCAACAACCTAAATCACACTACATTTCTTTTTTAATTCACACTAATTTTGACACTATTTCAAAGTCTTAACTCCTTTGTTCCTTTCTAAGCGTTTGGGTCTTCTAGACTTTTTCCAGAGGTTGACAGCTCTATTCCAAAATTAGAACATGTTTCGCAAGAGCCTACAAAGTCACGAGAAATGCTTCACGAAAAGCGCTATTAAATGATGGACGTATGGCTTCCGCTAAAACTAACGATTTCCTTATGTACCTATAATGTGAAAAAAGCAGCCCGTACAAAGAGAATCGTCCACGCCAGGAAGTCTACTTTTTTGTGCCAATTACATCCGAGTCTAACCATACATTTCTTACCTAAGCATGAGATCTGTTCGTGGCGCGAAATATGCTGAGTAAACTTTTTTTAATGATGTGAAAAACAACTGGGATTGGTTGAAAAAAGAGCTTTAACCAATAGAAGTTAATTCCCGGCAACAAAGCGTTGGGCGTCATATTTAGGAACACACTGTATAAAAAAACAGTCGATGGCTACAAGAATGTGAAACCAAAAGGGGCCGACATACGTGAAAATGGTGTCGTATATATCTGTAACAGACAAAAAACAACAAATAAATAAGAGGGGTTAATGCTTTAAAAGAAAGATTCAGAAGCTTCAATTCAAAAGGTTGTTCATAGTGTTCCTGGAAAGCTTGAGTCTTTTTTTCAATAACCTATGTACTTTGTTCACTTCTTAATTTAAAGAAGTTGATTGTGGACCAATTCCACCCTCGGGGTAGAAGAAACCTGAACTAAACCTGGAACAAGTGTTTGATTTTAGCTATTTTCACCAATTTCGAGCAAAAGTAGTTGGTTACCAAATGATATTTAAAGATAGATAACGTTGTCTATATCCATTTTCAGTAAATATGATGTTTTGCTCGTCTGGTGCTATCAATATCAAAAGGGTTCACGGGGGTCATATGGAAGAGGTACACACTCTGAAGACGTACACTCTAGAGCCCTTACAGTCAGATTAGACCTCAATCTATTCGGTAGAATAAATAACACCCGCCTCCCTTTCTTCGCGTGTTACTATCGGAGAAGGAGTTACAGGTACCGTAGCTGTTTATCGAGTATTATCACAAGTTATAACCTACGGGTCATTGTGATACCCTTATACAGAGTATAAATATGGACTAGAAATCGGTATAGTTTGAAGACTTGAAGAAGCTGGTCAAAATGAAGCACCAAATAGTGATTTTTCTCGTTTGTGCTTTGGTCGCAACTTCTGTGGCAGAATTTAGTAATTAGAAACGCATTGGCTACGTTCAAATCTAACGATTTCTTCTTACAGAATGTGAAAAAGGCACCCCTTACAAGGAGAACAATTGCAACTCTTGCAACTGCTTAGATGGAGGATTACTGGCATGCACCGAAATTGCATGGTAAGTACAATTAAGGGGCCCCTTTCGTCCGTAACTAAATCTTTTGCAGTCTCGGTGACGAGTACCAGAGGTCGTTCAACTGCGTGGAGGGAACTGTCACCCAAAACAACTGTAATACGTGCACTTGCGTTGAGGGACAAGGTACAATTTGTACCAATCACAAATGTTAATAGATTATACGAAACAATTAAATAAATATTTCAGTGCAACCCTTAATTTTAAAATTTGTCGGTTTCGTTGTAAGTTGTAACTCCCACTCTGCTCTTTCCATGTATGGCCGAGGTGGTGTCACATGCGGAGGGGCGAATGAGAATTTGTTGGTGAATGGAAGCTGTTAAAGTTGACGGACTGAAAGTCAAACAAGTTCATATCCTCCCCAACTAGTACAACGAACGGTTGGATATACTGGGTGACCCAATAAGACCGTTCCTCGGCCATATCTCGAGAACCGTTCGTCGTATGACTTAGGGGTAAAAAAAATTATTTGGTAAATCGGTTATGAAGAATCGCTGGAAAATATTTTCAAGTTCTAAAAATGACCACCAGAGGGCGTTACTGCCATCTTAAATTTTAAATTTGCATTTTCTTTAAATTTCGCAACTAAACATTCTTTTTTCACATTTTTAAAAAGAACCAGTTTATCTATCATTTTCGTAAAAAGAAAAACTCAGTTATTTCAAAAACAAAAATGGCGTAGGGCGTTCAATTGTTTTTGCAATAACCTGCTTTAACTTCTTAACCGTTTGACCGATTGTAACAAATTTCGTACTGTTGAAAAGAGCATTCCGTGGGCAATCAACCAAAATATAGTTAATTTAGTTGTATCCTTCTCCGCCAGGATGCTAGTTTGGACACTATGATCCAAAATCCTAAAAATATCAAAAAAATCAATGACTTTTTCTTTATGAAAAAGTAGATAAATAACACCCAAAGAGGCCAGTGAAAACCGTTTTTCAAAATCTCGTTCCTAACCTCAAATATTGGGAAAATGAGGTTAATTAATTAATTAATAAAAATGCTTAAATTGTATCCTATTTGACGTATTTCCGGTATTTGTCGATGGTGCGAAAGAAAAGCACCCTACACTTTTAGGTAGGCCTTGGAAAACAATTGAACACCCTGTTTTTGAAATAACTGAGTTTTTGTTTTTACGAAAATGATAGATATACTGGTTCTCTTTAAAAATGTGAACAAAGAATATTTAGTTCATTACGCGAAATCTAAAGAAAATGCAATTTTAAAATTTGAGATGGCAGTTACGCCCTCTGGTGGTCATTTTTAGAACTTGAAAATATTGTCCAGCGATTCTTCATGACCGATTTACCGATAATTTTCTTTACCCCTAAGTCATATCCCAAACGGTTCTCGAGATATGGCCGAGGAACAGTCTTATTGGGTCACCCGGTACATACGACAGTCTTACCCAACCCGCACTTGACAAGAGCATCAGCATCTTCTTCCCGGTGAGGAATTTAATCAGCCTCGTTTTATTCCTTTCATTAGCGAGGAAATGCTTTACACCCCCCTCACCCGTTCGCTTTTACACGAGTTATTTCTCCAATTTGACAGATTTTGATCTTCAATGAGTGGGCTATATCCATTAATTTTTTATAATAGGCTCTTGAGCAGTCTAAATGTTTTTAACAGTGCCAAAGACCTTAAAAATCAGAGAGATACTAAGTGACCGACATATCCGAATAACTTTAAGAGATTCCAAGATTCTTAAAAGCTTTAAAATGCCTTAAAGCTATTGCAGTTTGAAGAAGGATCGTGAAAGCTCTTGAAAACTCTTGAAGATATGAGCAAAACCAATAGTTTCAAAAAATCCCACTTTAAGGCACTTTGAAATCGTAAAAGCCCATGTAACTTGTTAAAAAAGGAGTTCTTATAGACTATTAGACTTTAAAGCAATATAGAAGGCCCTTGGAATCTCGCCAAGGTTTTTAACATCCTTTGAAATTATTGAAAACGGAAAAGATATTTTCGAGCACGTAAACCAGCCTCAAAACCCGTTAAGTGTTTTTAAAGGTCTTCGGGGTAAGAGCTCCTCAAGGGTGTTTCCGGACCTTCAAGGCTCGGCTTTAAGGCCGTAAGGACGGGTTTTCCCAAACAGAATGTCTTTTAAATGGCCCAAAACCCTATCGAGATGTTTGAACGGTTTTAGGGACAGAAAAAAACAGAGACCCTTTAAAACACTTAAAATCTCTAAAACTCTGACAAGGCTCTTAATCGCTCTGTTCGTCTCTCAAACGTAGGAGAGGATCCCAAGCACTCTAGAAACATCTGGCGGTATGTTTAAGACTCTTAATTATTGATCCAGGTAAAAGCCTTAATGATCCACATGAAAGTCTATAAACCCTTTTAATAATGAGGATGTCCATTAAACATTGATAAAGGCTCCATTAGTTAAGTTCCCAAAACGGAAACCAGCAAAAGTTTTGGGGGACTATGGAATCCAGAGTTGGACTGGGTCACTGGGTCACTGGGTCAACTGGGTCACCTGGGTCACTAAATTAAACTGGGTCACTGGGTCACGTCATACTCTTTTCAGTTAGACCCAGTGACCCAGTTTGACCCAGTGACCCAACTTGACCCAGTTTGACCCAGTGACCCACTTTGACCCAGCTACCCAATTTCATCCGGGGACCCAATTCGACCCAGTCACCTAGTTTGATCGAATAACGCAGTTAAGTCAGTGCCCTCGGTTCAAGTGTACAGATTATGAAATAAATGAAATGCTGGTTTGTTGAAAATAATACTCGATTGCTTGACAACTGCCATTTCTGTGATGTTTGCTTTAATACTGCCGTAAAAAAACTTTCCATGTCCCGAATTGTATTAGAATAATGTTATTTCTTTGCTTCAGGGCTTACCAGTTTGCTTACAGGTGTTCATTCACATTTAATTTTTTTCTACTAGTTAGCTTAATCCAAATAAATCTTTTCTCTAAATACTTTCATTGACTACTTCACTACAATCTATAAACAAATGCATTTGATTTTTTTAGGTATTAGTTCTCTTGAATGAAATTGGGCTACGTGCTTGTTGCCGAATATTATTGAGGAATTTTTTTTTTAAATTAAAAGTTACTTGAAATTGTTTTGGATGATACCTAACAATAATTTAATTACTGGGCCACCGGGTCAAGACGGGTCACTGGGTCAAGCTGGGTCACCGGGTCAAGCTGGGTCACCGGATCAAACTGGGTCACCGGGTCAAGCTGGGTCAAGCTGGGTCACTGGGTCAAACTGGGTCACTGGGTCAAGCCGGGTCAAGCTGGGTCACCGGGTCAACTGGGTCACTGGGTCACCGGGTCACTGAGTCAGTAAACTAACTGGGTCACCGGGTCACTGGGTCACTCTATGCTTGACCCAGTCCAACTCTGATGGAATCCTAAAATCGTTCAAAACGGGTTTACAGATGGTGGGAGGCCTTTCAAAATCCATAAAAATTGTTGGTGAGTTCCAAAGGCCCTTTGAATGTCTTTAAATTACTATCTCTATTTGTATATGGGGCACTTCCCCCTCCTCGCCGCCCCCGTTTTCGTGTTTCCCCATAAAGCACATTCCGAAGGGCATATGGTTGGAGTTACAGTGATGCCGCCGCGGCCTAGTGGGGTACCGAGGATGGGCGCGCCGAACCGAGTGGGGTATAATTTTTTATCGCCCTCTCCCCCTGGAGTGGCTGTTGTAGTAAGAAGTGAAAAAAACGCGAGAAAACACTTTCGGAACAAGATAGGAAGTTATTGGACCTACGAGGGCGGTACTTTCGGAATCCGTAGCCCATAGGGATGGGCACTGTTCGATTTTTTTTTATCCGGCTCGACTCTCTCTCCCCCTCCCCCTCGACCCGTTTTTAGGTAAAGTCGTTACTTTCAAAATTTGTAGTGGGTGAAGGAGGGGAGATACGTAAAAACTTTACGTTGCGTACTCTGTAGCACAAACGAGTGGCGAGGGGGGGGGGCGACGCAAATCGGAGCACGTGAGAATTTTTCAAGGAAAAGTGCGCTTTTTGGGCGGTAAAACGGATAAGGGAAGGTGAAGGTGGTGAATTGTACGCGAAACGTAGAGGCGCTTTGAATGCGCAGTTTACTGAGCTCGACCGCCTCCCCCACCCCCGTAGCGACGTGGGTGGCAAGTCCAAACGTCGTATCGGGCGAATAGGGGGGGGGGGCCGCGAATCGAGTTGCAGTTTTTTTTTTGGTCTCATAGTTCGAAGGCGCTTCCGAGGTGTCGCTTGTTAGGTGTCGAGTCGCTCGCCCCTCCCGCCTTCCACATTGCTTATAGATGGCAATTTTGGCGTTTATTCGCAAGTGACAGGGCCTTTTTTTACGTTGGGTTTCCATATTTCTCGGTCGCGTTCTAAATCGACGATTTGTGTAAACGTGCGAGGCGAGGCGGCGCAGCCGCTGAGGCCCGTAGTGTGTCTTCTTTGTGTGTTTTAATGTGCGAGGCGAAGCCGAACAATGAGTCAACGGTACTATACATGCATAACACTAGGTGGCCATCTACATTCAGACTGCATACCCCCCCCCCCGGGTAGGGGTAAAGTTGAGACGCCGTAGTAGGTGAACGTTGGAACTTATCAAGTCGCGGTTACCCCCTCCCCCCTCTTTCATTTATGTCGATAGAAAAATCTAGGCTTATATAATCGTTGATTTCTGTTTCATGGATCTAGTAGCTGTAGGACTTCAGCTGAAAGAGGACGGATTAGGTACTTGTTGGTCTACTCCTACGGCTCGTAAGAGGCTCCACCTGCCGGGGAGCTGGGCAAGTTGACAGAAATAGGGATCTCTCTCTTGTGGTTAGATGTGATGCAAACGCATGTGTTGCGCACGGTACACGAACACGAACTCGAGCGGTGGGGTGGGGAGCAAAATAACTGATATGGATGCAGCCCATACCTTTGTCACAGCGCGGGGGCAGAAGGTTATTACCAACGTTGGGCTCCCTTTCAATAGCCCACATGAAAACGAGTTGGAGGGTGGTTGGTTGCGATGCAAACGTGCACCATGTTGCGTGGGGCAGCACGGACACGAACTGGAGGGGCTACTATCTCCCGGGTGGTTACCGGGAGATCTCTGAGTTGGGCGGTCAACACGTTCAGCCAATTTAAGGTTGCAGGACCGGACGGGATATTTCCGGTTAGTTTAGGGTAAATCCCCGAAAACTCCCTATCTAAACCGAGTCGTACCAAATGTGACATGGCAAAGGATTCCAGGCCCCATCAGCCCATCATCGTTTCTTCTAAATAACGTGGAGAAGCTGGAGAAGGAAATGTCTGCTGGTAACTTTACGATTTTTAATTTTCAGTAAAAGAGGATTGGTACTATCAATATCAAGAGGGCGTACGGCGGGTCATTTGAGGTCATATAGAAGAGGAAATACTGCGCCTTTATACTTATAGTCACCTCAAGCGATGCAGAAGGACAAAACAATATCTGCTTCTTTTTCTTCGCATGAGAGAACCAATTGTCGGAGAAGGACGTACAGGTGCCATAGCGGTTTATCGAACTTTATCACAAGTTATAACCTACAGGTCGTAGTGATATCCTTATACGAAATATGGAGTGGAAATCAGTACAGTTTGAAGATTTGAACTAGTCGATCAAAATGAAACACCAAATATTGAGTTTCCTAGTTTGTGTTTTAGTCGCAACGTCTGTGGCAGAATTTCGTAATTATGAAACGTACAGTTTCGACCACAACTGATGATATCTTCTTGCAGAATGTGAAAAGGGTGCACCTTACAAGGAGAATAATTGCAACAATTGCACTTGTTTAAGTGGAGGACTACTGGCATGTACCCAAATGGCTTGGTGAGTGTAATCTAGTGATCCCCACTGTCCGTAATTAAAAATTTTGCAGCCTCGGTGGCGAATACCGGAGGTCGTTGAATTGCGTGGAGGGAACTGTCACCCAAGTTGACTGTAACACATGTAATTGCGTTAAGGGACAAGGAACTATTTGTACCGATAATAAATGTTAGGAAATTATACAAAACAATTACATAATAGTTATTTGTGTATCAGCTTTTTCAGTATCTGTCGTTTTTGTTGTAGAATGGGTTTGTCTATAAACAATATTTTATCACTTTTATTTTTAAAATAGTGCTGTCCTTTTCCTTAAGTGGACGCAGTCATACACCAGCTGTAAAGGTTAATTTCTTTAGATACTTACGTAACTTTCATTTCTCAGAGAAGGTTTATGGTATCTTCACGATCTACATGATCTATCTAACAATGTTCAGAATCCACAGCATCTACCGGCTACCCGATACTCAAGATGGTCAGAGTCTACCATATCCCGGAGAATTCATAGAATCCGAAGTACTAAATGAATGAGAAGAAAAAATCTGCGACGAAAAAAGGAACTATTGCAGATGACACTCGTATGGCCTCTAGTGGCGACAACAAAGAACTGAGGTAATAACAAATCACCCATAGAAATATCTTGCATCTTATCTAAACGGATTTCAAAGGAACCTAGATGGCGTCGAGAACTTAAATCATGAATCTTGATTGAGTCTGTGTAGATCTTGAGTCTTAGATCTTGAAAACCTTGAGCCCTGAATATCGACCTCTTGAACCTTGACGCTTGGCTTTTGATCGCTTAATTTTAACACTTGAATCTTAATTCTTGAATATTGACTCTTAAGTCTTCGCCTTTTAATCTCGGCTCTAATATTGACTCTTTAACCTCGACTGTTTAATTACGACTCTTTAATCTCGATTTGAATCTTGACTCTTGGATCTTGAAACTCGAACCTTGTCTCTTGCATCTTGAGCTTTGAATCTTGACTGTTCGCTTTTGAATCTTGACTCTTGAATCTGAACTCTTATCTTGAATCATGATTCTTGTAACTTGACTCTTCCATTTGGAATTAATATAGACTTATCCACTTAATATTCATCCTAGAATCTTGAATCCCATCACTATTGAGTTTTGAATACTGAGCTCTGATTCCCTAATTGTGAATTTTTTATACTCAACCTTGACCCTCGAATCTTGTATATTCGATTTGAACTGTTGAATTTTGACCTTTGAGTCTGAATTGTTGAATATTGACTCTTGAATCTTAATTTTTGAGCTTGATTTTTAAATATTCAGCCATGAATTTAATATCGTCTTTTGAATCTTATGTATTTTGAAAATTATTCTTGAATCATGACCATTGACCCTTCATCTTTAAATCCTGATGCTTCAATCTTGACCCTTGATTCCTGACACTTTACTCCAGATTCCTAAATTTCCAACTTGAATAGTCAGTTCTAGGTAAACTTGGAACCTTGAATCTTTACCCTGGAATTTTGCCTCTTGGATTAGAACGATTTAATATTGAAACTTCCTCTTAGATTATGATTATAATTCTTGAATGTTGAATCTTGGGTCTTGCATCTTCATCCTTTATTCTGAATTTTTGAAACATGTCTCTTAAATTTTTACTCTGAATCTTTAATTTTGAATCAAGCGAATTGAAACTTTGCATCTTAGATTCAGAATCCTAAATCCCCTATTATTCAATCTTGAATATTGGGCTCTGGTTCCTATTCATTTTTACCATTGAACCTTCAATCCTAAATTTGAATTTTTGATTTATGATTCCTAAATTGTAAATTCTTGAATCAATATTTACTTTTATACTTTACATCTTGGCCCTTAAATCTTCTGAATTAGGGCCTTTGAATCTTGTCCATCTAATTTTTATTTTTCATTCAAAATCCTATTACCATTGCATTTTGGACCTCTGATTCCTAAATCATAAATCTTGATTGAGTCTGTACATACTTGAGTTTTAAATCTTGAATACTTAATCTGGACTTGTAAATCTTGTGCCCTGAATCTTGATTCTTGAATATCGACTCTTAAATCTTCACTTTTAAATCTTCACCATAATATTGACTCTTTAACTTCGACTGTTTAATTACTACTCTTTAAGGTCGACTATTTCAATCTCGACTCTTTAATCTCGACTTTTTAATCTCGACTCTTTAATTTCGACTCTTTAATCTCGACTCTTTAATCACGACTGTTTAATCTCGACCCTTTAATCTCGACTCTTTAATCTCGACTCCTTAATCCAGGCTCTTTAATTTTGACTCTTGATTTGAATCTTGACTTTTGGATCTTGACACTCGAACCTTGTCTCTTACATCTTGACATTTGAATATTGACTCTTGAATCCGAACTATATATGGTGTCTGGAATCATGATTCTTGTAACTTGACTCTTCCATTTAGAATTAATATCGACTTGTCCACTTAATACTCATCCTAGAATCTTGAATTTAGAATCTTGAATTCCATCACTATTGAGTTTTGAATATTGAGCTCTGATTCCCTAATTGTGAATTTTGGATATTCAATATTGACTTTTACATCTTGACCCTGGAATCTTGTATATTCGATTTGAACTGTTGAATTTTTAGCTTTGAGTCTGAATTGTCGAATATTGAGTCTGGAATCTTAGTTTATGAATATTCAGCCATGAATTGAATCTTTTCTTTTGAATCGTATGTATTTTGAAATTTATTCTTGAATCATGACCCTTGACCCTTCATCTTTAAATCTTGACGCTTAAATCTTGACCCTTGGATCCCGAAGCTTTACTTCAGATTCCTAAGTTTCCATCTTGAATAGTCGTCAGTTATAGGCAAACTTGGAACCTTAAATCTTTACCCAGGAATTTTGACTCTTGGATTAGAATGATTTAATATTGAAACTTCCTCTTAGATTATGATTATAACTTTTGAATTTTGAATCTTGGGTCTCGCATCTTCATCCTTTATTCTGAATTTTTGAAACATGTCTCTTAAATTTTTACTCTGAATCTTGAATTTTGAATTATACGAATTGAATCCTTGAATCTTAGATTCAGAATCCTAAATCCCCTTATTATTGAATCTTGAATATTGGGCTCTGATTCCTAAATCGTGAATCTTGAGTCTGGCTGGTCCTTCAGTCTTGCATCTTGAATATTCAATCCGGACATTTGAATCTTAGCTCTTGAATTTTGACTCTTGAATATTGACTCTTGCATCTTAGCGTTTGAATCTTTAATTAATCTTGGCCCATTCATTTTTACTGTTGAATCTTGACCCGTGAACCTTCAATCCTAAATTTGAATCTTTGATTTATGATTCCTAAATTGTAAATCCTTGAATCAATAATTACTTTTAAACTTAACATCTTGGTCCTTAAATCTTCTGAATTTGACACTTTAAATCTTGTCCATCTAATTTTTATTTTTCATTCAAAATCCTATTCCCATTGAATTCTTGAGTCTTAAATCTTGAATACTAGTATTAATCTGGATTTATGAATCTTGACCTCTTGAACCTTGACGCTTGGGTTTTGATTGCTTAATTTTTACACTTGAATCTTGATTCTTGAATATTGACTCTTAAATTTTCACCTTTTAATCTCTACTATAAAATTGACTCTTTAACCTCGACTGTTTAATTACGACTCTAACCTCGACTATTTAAATCTCGAATCTGTAATCTTGGCTCTTTAATTTTGAATATTGGGCCTTAAGTGTCGACTATTATATTTTGGCTATTTACTGACTCTTGCTCTTCGATTCTTGATCAGCCCCTTGAATACTATTGAAGGATAATTCACGATCAGGGATCTGCCACCCACTAATTGAAAGCCATAATTATTGAACCATTTATTCCGAGTTGAACGTGTACCTGCCTTTGGTTGTATCGATAAAATGTTTTGAAGACTTTTATGAGTTTACCACCAAACCATCACATCATACATTGTTGTAAAACAATGTTTCATTGATCGGGGTTTTAAACAGTGCCTGATTCTTGCCAGTTGCTTCACCGCTGAATACATTAGATTGTTACTTCACCCGAAACAATATTTATTTCAAGTAAATTTCTTTTTTTTTTTTTGCGCCACCCAAAATGGCGCTAATTATTTTTATTTAACTAAATTATACCAATTAAATGCAAGATTAACAAAATAAGATAAATTCAATGTAAAATATAAAAAAACTTCGTTAAAATGGAGGTTTCTATATTCACGCATGCATAATTGCTACACAACTCAAATTTATAGAGTTCTCCATAAAGCAAATTTGGTTAGCTTTCGCGTGGAAATGCCCTTTCGAGCTGCTGTGGTAATTTTCGGTTGCGAATGATTTTACGAGTGTAACTAAACTCGATTTTCACAAAGTCCCTAAAACGGAACCCGTAACAACTTCTGGTCAAACAATCATGTAAGCATTTCTCGTCGATTACATTTAAAGCGAACTAAAACAAGCACGACCGGAAGCTATAAATTCAAACTTATCCGACATAATCGCGCAGAGAGATAGATTTATGACGCATTATTGCGCACATTATTCCGACGGTTGTAATTAAGATGCTCTTCTGTTCGACACTAGCGCCATCACGTAGTCGACTGTCGTGACATTTTTGTGCGTTATTGCGATTGAACTGGCGAAATCCGGGCAATAAACACCGAAATCGTTATAACGGCAATACATTTTCGTCAGATACCCCGATCGATCAATAGCCGCGATATCCTTTCTTATTAAGAGCTTATTATGATTAATGGCCAATTCCTTTGTTGACGTTTCCCAATAAAAAATAGCGCGTTACGAACTCATTACGTCACAAGAGAATATTTCTTACGTCGACCCGACCGCAAGGATTAGAATTGAGGGGTATCAGGCGAGACCTTTCAATCGTGATGAAAATTGATAGTGTACCAACTTACACACTTGAACCTATGAATGGGAGTTGAACGAAAATTTAGCAATGAATATTACGAAACTTCTACGATGTAATTACTATGACTTAGTCGTGTTTACGCGTATGTTGAGCAATAAAATGGGTGTAAATGCAAATTTTACGTTCCTCGCCTACTTTAATTTTTACTTTTCTTTTATTGCATTCATGAAGGGTAGCGGGTAGACATCCTCACGCCGTCTTACACTTTCTCCTTTCGCACTGGAAAAACTGAAAGGTTAATGATTCAAAGGTTTATAAAGGTTCAAAATGGCTTCTAAAATCAGTTTTTGCGTTTAAGAGTAAATGGATGGAAGTTATAATCAATAATTGTGAATAAGCAATACTGAAAA